CTTCTTTTTGCCCTTGGCCTTGGCTTTGTCGTCCTTCTTCACGCCCTTGGCCTTGGGTTTGTCGTCCTTCTTCGAGCCCTCGGCCTTCGGCTTGTCGTCCTTCTTCGCGGAAGAGCTCGCTGAGCTCAACGCGTAGAGATCTGCCACCGAGATCGCGTTGATCTCGGACACCAGCTGCGACTTCACGACATCCAAGTGTTCGGCTTCGTCCTGGCTGTCGTGCTCTGCGAACTCTCCTTGAAAGTCCTGCTGCCTCAGCAGGCGATAGCTGAGTCGCCGAAGCAGCTTGGCCATCTGCGTTCTCTCCGATGCTGTCAGCATGATGTCTACTATGTTACTACATACTGCTGCTATGTTCCCTCGCCCATGTGTGTGCCGCCTCCGGTGCTGCCTGCTAGGTGTTGTGTGGCATGCTGCTAAGTGCCGCCTATGCTGCTATGTGTTTATGTGTGCTGCCTATGCCGCCTATGCTGCTATGTGTGCTGCTCGTGTGCCGCTGGCATGCTGCTTGTCATTGTCGGTCGTCCTACCTTGAAAGAGCGAGCGCGGAAACACATGTCACTGCAGGGCCGTGGGAGAGGGGCCTATGGGTTAGGGAGTACAAGGCACTTGCAGGGCAGCTGGGGGCGAATCCTACAGCAGGGGCCGAAGGGGTTAAGGTGCCCTGAACCAAACCAAAAGCAACCCCGGCAAAAAGCACTCTAGCAAAATGTTACTGCAAAAGTCGGCGTCGGCCTAGCTAGAATACCACTACAAAATGAAAACAAAAATGGCATCAGGGAGCAAAGCGCGAGCACCACCGAGCATTTAACTGCAACACCCACCCCGGCCCCGCCCACTCGCCCCACCAACCGACAACCCGCCCCCTCCCGAGCTCAAGGCCCCAGGCCTTGTCCCTTTAAGCTTCCTCTGCCGCCCCTGTCACCAAGTCAGTGAATTTGTTTAAAATGTTTTCTGGCAGGTCTTCCACACCACCCAAGAGGTGCCTGCCCAGGCGCCTTCGACGATTTTTTTAAGGTGGTACGTCTTCCCCAGTAGGGATACTCTTCCACCGCTTCAATAAATTCTTCCACCGCTTCAAAGAGCATTTTTGGCTCATACAAAAAGACGACATACCTGCCAAACATATTGAAAATGCGTTTTTGGCTCACACAAGAGAGCAACATACTTACAAAATGTGAACAGCAGCGGTTTAACGTTTAGGGTCAGACAAGAAGACAACACACTTGTCAAACGTATTCAGTAGCGTTTTTGGATAATACAAGAAGACAACATGCTTCGGGAATCTGAACAGCAGAGAGCAGCCCTCCCCAGAACCCTTCTGCGCAAGTCGGCACAAGGAAGCCCAGCAGGCTCTGGAGGAGCAGAGAGCAGTCGAGGAGCAGAAACGCAAGGAAGCCGAAGTCCTAGCACAAAGGGCTTTGGAGGAGCAGGAAGCACAGCGCCGGCAAGCCGAAGTCCTGGCCGAGAAGGCTTCTGCAGAGCAAAGGGCTCGCGACGCGATCGAGGAACGGAAGCGCATAGAAGCCGAAGTGAAAGCAAAGCTGGAGGCTGAGCAGGAGCAGAGAGAACGAGAAGCAGAAGCGCGGAAGCAGAAGGAGGCCGAAGCTCTAGCACGTGTCGAAGCAGAGGCAGAGGCCCAGAAAAGTGCAGAGGCAACACAACAAGCACAACAAGCACGGGAAGCACAGGAACAGCAACGCAAGGCGGAGGTTCGGGCGCGAAAGTTGCAAGAGGCAAAGGATCGGCTGTACATGGCAGAGAAAATGCAGGCGATCCAAGAGCAAGCAATGAAGGAGGAGCTGGCCAAAGTAAAGGTGCAGGAGGCTGCTGTCGAGTTGAAGGCACCCGCACCTACTGCACCGATCCGTTCCTCGTCTCTGCTGACTTCTGCTGCTTCGTTCACTGACGATACCCTGGAAGGTCGTGTCTGCAAGGTGGTGCGTTAACAAAAGCATGTACGGATTGAAATATACATACAACACACATGTGTACGTGTAAGCACGAATCATGCACACCTATATACAAACACACTCATATACAAACGGAAATATGAGGCCCTTAAATTACATATTAGATCGACAGAGAGCTAGCAACTAGAGAGAGAAAAAGGCGAGAGAACAACTCCAATTTCAAGCACCGGTCCTTACAAACTAGTCGGGTTCATTATAAACAAATTAGCACCCTTCAACCTGACCTCAAATCTATAATCCAGCTGCTGTGCAGGGTATGTCGCCTCCGGACATCTCTGCTGCTACCTCGGCAAGCAGCGGGACTCCGGCGAAGCTACCGGCTGCAAAGAGTCGTGCAGCTAAGAAGGCCAGCCCGGATATGTTAGTACGCATAATAATGGTTTCAATATCGATTGTTCAGAACCCTGCAATATTGTCACGGGAGAGAAGATGCTTTGCAGGCTCAGAAAGACGACTGCGAACTTCCGCAGCTCTCGGCTGAGGAGGTGGTAAATACAAGAGCTTCTGGAATCGTATGAGATCGAAGAGCTTCGAGTAGCCTAGCTTCCAAAGTTGAGGTTTTGCTTGATCGTAATTCACTTACACATAGGTGATAGAGGATATCGCTTGCCGTGTAGTTGAGGTCTGTCGACAACAGCTCCTCCGTCCCGGATGCCAGTGTCGTGTCCAAGGATGTGCCCAATGCAGCAATTAATATACCGGCCCAATTATAATACATCAAGGCTGCTGGTCTTAAGCCCCAAACCCGACGCCTAACTTACGTTGCCAACCCTATATAAATACCTAGTGTAAAATTGTTTTACTTGGTTTCCTGTGCATAAAAAATCATCTTCTAGAAAACCCCTCGATCTCAACCCGCCTTAACCCCAAACCGAAACCCCTAAACCCTAAACTTAAAAGCTGTCCTGTGAAGCTGCTTCCGACAAGAAGATAGAACCCCGACTCCACAAAAAACCCACTAAACCCTAACTTACCCTAACGTAAAGCCACCTGGCACTGGATCCAGGTGCCATCGACAGCCCCCTCCGCCCCGGATGCCACTGTCGTGTCCAGGGATGTGCCCAATGCAGCAATTAATATACCGGCCCACTAATACATCAAGGCTGCTGGTCTTAAGCCCCAAACCCGACGCCTAACTTACGTTGCCAACCTTATATATTAGTACCTAGTGTAAAACTGCTTTACTAGCTTGGTTTCCTGTGCATAACAAATCATCTTCTAGAGAACCCCTCGATCTCAATTAACCGCAAACCGAAACCCCTAAACCCTAAACTTAAAAGCCGTCCTGTGAATCTGCTTCCGACAAGAAGATAGAACCCCGACTCCACAAAAAGCCCACTAAACTAAACCCTAACTTCTAAAGTAAAGCCACCTGGCACTGGATCCAGGTGCCATCGACAGCCCCCGCCGAGTTGCCAAGCACTTCTCCGCCAAGCAGCTCTCCGCCTGGGGCCGCAGATCCAAGTGCAACATCCACCCCAGCTAAAGCAGCTGCTTCGCCCGGTGCAGAGACCATCACCCCCGAAATTGCTGCTTTTATCGAAAGGCTAGCCCGAGACATGGCAGCACAAATGCAAGCAGGTGCTTCGAACTGGCAGCCCAGCCCACCACCGCCGAAGACAACCCCAGTCGAGGAGGCAGCTGCTGAGAAAGAACAGGTGCTCCCTGCTGCTAGTGCTCCACCCCCGCCAACGCAGCCCGTTGCTTCGACCGCGCTCGTCCCGGTCCCTCCTCCCAAAGCCGGACCTCCCTTAAATCCGAATCGAATCAACTCTTCGACGCATCCTGCCGAGTACAAAGAGTTCGGGCGCTTTTGTGAGTCCAACCCAGCTGCGAGCGAGCTGAAGGCTGCTTACTCGCCAGATACTGAGATGCTATTGTATGTAGTGGGTCGACTCCTCAACTCGATCTATCGATGACTTGCTTGCAATACTGCACAGGAAGGGTGGTGCTTTCAAGATGCAAGCTTTCGCGAAGTTTGTCAAAGCAGGGTGTGCCTAGGCTGAACCAGCGATATTGTGTACTTTGAACGCTTGCTTCCCCACTCTATTCCTACAACATCAGGCAACGGGCTGGCTCTGGAAGCTGTGCTTCGCTACCGGAAGCAGACCGAGGACTTGCAGGAAGACGAAGGACAGAAGTCTTGGACTGGTTTCTACTCTGCATGTGTTTTTTCTCAAGCTTTGCATATACGAGTCTTGTATCCGCAGGACACTATTATCCGTACCCCGAGATCTTGGAGTTCTTCCAGAGAGACCAGGTCAAGGCGGATACGTTTTGCAGGATGCGCCGAGAGCAACCGAAAGGGTTTCTTGGACAAAAAGCAAAACACCAAACCACCCAAAATAATCCTTTATAAACCTTAAACAACCTACTGCGATCGAGTATCGGGCAGACCTAAACCCTTGGCCTAAACCCACAATTAAGCCTAGGTAGGTGGTTAGCTCTAGGGAAGGTATATATGTATCGGCAGGCCGGTATATATATATATATATATAATAGATAGATATGTTGGTAGGTTAACATATATATATATAGAGGTTGTCATATAGGCATTTATGTACATAAGGAAATGGCGTAATATAGGTCGGTACACGTACTAGCATCTCAATAATTAGTGGAGATTTCTCCATGTCTGACGACCAAAGCTCATGTCAACCCCAGCACAAAACCAAATGTGAGCCCGAAGAAAAATAATTGAGAAGCCATATATTATATAACCTACAAGACCTACAATATTGAACCCCGCCTGTCCGGCTTTGCTTTTGGGAGTGGGTTTACAACATAACGCGGAACCCTAAATCCCTAAATGCCGAGGACTTCTACGTGTCGCAACAACCCTGACATAGAGACCTTCCTGTTCTACCAGCGCGAGCGTCGATGCCTCTCCACACGCAGTTTGGAGACTAAGCTACAGATTAAACACATTGGACGGCCGCGGTGTTGCAACGTAGTCAAAGTTCGCATTGTTGAGAATAAACTCAGGACGAGATATCCGTGTCTTTGGGCGCAGATCCTAAGTTTGCTATGGAACTCATGGAATTGGAGAAGGGCAACAGCGATGCTGGCGGTCATGCGCCACCCACGAGATCTAACTCCAATCCGAGCATTGGGGAGAGCTTGCCCCCGACACCGAATCCCAAGGGCGAGATCCCGGATCCTCAAGTTCCTCCAAAGAAGAAATCCCGACCTGCCAAACCCCAGGCCTGCAAGAGCCTGCAAGTACCTAATGCTTGTGTATATAGCACCCATGTATAGTCCTATCCACTAATCTTTGGCAGGGTGCCGAGATGGAGGTGACGCTGCTCGCGGACACAGATTTGCCATCGTTCATAACGACCTGGGTTAGTGCGGCCACGACGGCCGAAGGCAAAGCAACAACGACGTGTGCCGAGCTGCTTCGTTGCAAAAGCTTGGTGCTATACGTGTACTTGGGGTCCTACGTACGTAGCTGGAGCTATTTTATGTGTGTTTGGCTTAGGCTGGAGGTGCTCGAGTCCCAGGGAGAGTTGATCAAGTTGATAATGGATGCAACAAGCGGCCTTGCTGCAAAACGCAAAGCCCTGCAGAGCTTGGGTGCCAACGCCTCGTCTGCAAGTGTGCAGACGATCCTCTCGCAGGCCCTAACATCATCACTCTCAGTGTAAATATGTATACCACTTAAACCCCAAAGCCTCAATACTGCGCCAGGCATGTCCGTTTGTGCTGGCGTACAAGAAGCACGTGAAAGTTGCCAACAACCTGAAACTTTCCTGCACTATCGATGCTGAAGTTTGTTCCGTCGTGTGTTGAGTTTTTAGAGGCAAGCCTCAAATCCAGACAACCCTAAATCTCGAGCCCGACCCGAAGCCTGTACAAACCGAGAACCTGAGTCCCCGATGAAACCCAAGGGTTATGTAGAATCCAAATCTACAATTGTAATTCATATATAACAGGATCTCTGGGGTATATCCAAACCTTTATCCCTTTGCCCTTGACCCCTAAACTCCGTGTAAACCAAACCTGTACCCTTTCACTATTTACCCGATGAACTGTATAATGCCTCAGAAATAGGCTGTCGCCGCCGCCGTGAGCCGAACCTGTATCCCTTAAATACGCTTCAACTTAAAGCAAATCCAAACCCAACCCTCAACCCCATAAATCCTGCAATCTATAAAGGCACAAGACATCTAGACTAGAGAGTTCGATTCTTTAATACAATTCACAGCCATGAGATTGTTATGGTACTTTTCATAAACAAAGACCCTGTACTAGCCGAAGCACCCAGGATCAGCGGCCACAAGAAGGAAACCCAGCCGAAGAAGAAGGCCAAGGCAGCGTCGAAAGCGGCGCCGGCGGAAACCGCAGAGAACTAGATCCATGCAAGGCATTTTGCCATGTTTTGGTTTTGGGCAAGTCGCACCCCATAGCGCCTTCGAAGCCTTTCTGATAAGTGCTTACATGAACTACCCCAGTACATATTGGGCCCTCTTAAGGTAGGAAGGCTGGGGGTGGGGCACGTGGGGCCTCAAACTATGTTCGGGCTCGTTGGCTACAGCCGTGGGCATAGATCAACATAGTACGAGGCCGGGGGAGCTTCTCTATAGTAGAGGTGGCTCGAAATCATGAAGCAAAGCTTTCTGCAGCCCTGCATATGATCAGTCTGCTCTTGACAAAAGGCTTCAAAGCTCGAGTTTGAGTTCTGTTCACAGCCTGCCGTTCTGCATGTCTTGTGCCTAGCTAGTTTCAAGTGTGCTGTTGCAGCAGCTGGGGCCAAAGTGTCCGGATCTTGAACCATATTGAACCCTCGAATCCAAACCCATCAAAGATCAAGAATGCTAGCCCAGCCAAAGTCCCGAAAGCCAAGTTCCAAGCCCAACAGCTCGAAGCAGTAGAATAAAATCAGCTACACTACCTTAAACCCTAAGCCCCCAACCTAGTGATCCAGCTAAACTCCTAAACCCTAAGCCCCTAACCTAGTGATCCAAAATCCTGAAAACCAAGTTCTAAACCCAACCATTTGAAGCCCTGCTAACCAGTAAGTCTCCCGAAATACCACCAAGTTAATGTATGTGGTCTACACATGTATCATGCAGCGCTGATGTTGTGCCATAGGGTGCACGATGTTGAAATTTGCTACGCGGCTGGCAAACAAGCGAGATGCTTCTGCAACTACCAAGCCTAAAGTGGGACCGGGGGTCTTCTCCTTTACAAAATCACCCCTGGCTCGTGTTCTTTCAAAGAATGTTGGAAAAGGGCAGGCAGCCCACGACATGCAAAGGGTTGCTGCAGCAGCTGTATCTGAGTCGGGGATCAACAATGTTACACCGAGTTACTCGGTTGATTTACACTACACGTTTTCAGTCCGATCACGTTTATTATTAAGGGAGTTACACACGGCATATCGTGTCCATGTGGAACGACCATATTCCGAGGTACTGCCTGGATGTCTGGTTTGGGTAAGTCGGGAGAACGACCCGATCACATCGAAGAGTCTTTACATCGGGCAGCGAGTTCAGCCCGGGATGTGCCTCATCTGCAGTGGTGTCGATGTGCGTACTAGGCACTTATATATGTATGATGCGGAAGTGATGTGCAGAGCTCGGCCTGTGTAGTCCGTTTGTCGACTTTGCAAAAACCTGAAAAGGTTTGTGTAGAAGGCTGTCTGCTTCGAATAAAACCGCTGTTCCAGTGTGTAACGATTCCATCTGAGGCCACTTTGAAGGTGTCGCCGACCCACGTATCCGTTCTGCTCAGAGATGTGAAGTCCGAGAGTGTTCGTGCCCGAAAACGAAATGCCAGCGCTAAGCGACGAAATCTTCTGCGGCTGGCTACAGGTAAAAAAAAGAAGGCCCCTTTGAAGAAAAGCAAGCTTGCTGCACCCCCGCCAAGTCGATGGCAGAGCTGGCCCGTGCTCATGCCGTACGATGTTTGCAAAGCCATAAAGGCTTCGGGCATGGTGAAGGAGTTGTGGCTGGCCTACATTTACATGTAGACGAGCTTGTTATAAAGGCAGTACGATCGAAGTGTTTTGGATTTATGGCTCATTTGACGTGAGGCTCTGTGGAACACTGGACCCGCTGGCTTTTTGGAACCAGGCCTCTCACGAGGACTGGGGTGCGTGGCTTGCATAATTTAGATGCTTCTATAGCGTTAGAGCTCTCTTGTCAACTTAAGAACTTTATAAGCCGTTCGTTTGAACCTAGGTCCCACCCCGTTCAGTTCTGGGACGATGACAAAAAATCCCGGGCATACCCGGTAACCCTCCATGGTGATGAAGGAGAGGCGAAACGCTCAAAAAACATCCTTGTCATCAACTGGTCCCCCTTGGGAAATCATGGAATACCGTTCGTAACGAAGTATCCATACGTCGTCTCCTGCCAGACACAAAACATGTTTTTGAGGTTTTGTTGCGTTTCCTATGTTTGCTTGCTGTGTCTGTTTGAAGATTGGGTCACTCCCTCCTGGCGTCAGGTATTGAAGAGCGACATGATGCTATACAATGAAGCTGGGGACAACATCTCTTTGCATCACTTACAGGACACTCTGGTCCAAAGTTTAAACAAATGCAGCGACCCAAACAACGACCTCGGATTTACCATCCACATCGTCTGTGGACGTGGCGACTGGAAATGGCGGCACGAGTGGTTGAAACAAACCAGATTTTATGGAAATGCTGCTGGACCAAACGGTCTTTGTCAGAGGTGCCTGGCTTCCAAGACTACTTGGCTGGATCCAGTTTTCGAAAGATTCAACAATCATGCCGACCTAGAAGAAGCACTTGCCACTGCCGTTGGAGACATCAGTTTGAAAAATCTCGCCGGCTGGCGGTCTGAGATGGAGCTGCCGGACCTATTGCACTGCTGCTGGTTGGGCAGTGCCCGTGATCTCAACGGCAGCTTATGTATGCGGATGGCTTCGAAGTTTTTTGGTGGTGCTACGTATGATGAACGGCTTGCTGAACTTCGAAAGGACATGCAGCTTTGGTGCCAAAACAACGGCCTCTCACCCTCGATCATCGATGAATTCAGTGCCTTTCCCATAACTTAAACACACAGACTTTTTTTTCATGTATATGTGTCGACACATATATTGGACTATCAGGTTTGTCGAAAATGGGGATAGACGCCATCTCCCTGGACTATCCGAATGGGCCGTCCAAAGCTTATGAGAATAAGGTGATGAGCCATGTATGTGCACGGAGCATCTTATTTGTTTCCGTTATTATTTCTTGCAACCTAACCACTAGGTGGCTAATAATATTGGATAGATTTATATGTTTGCGAGGATTGCTTACTTTGCCGATCGTTTGCGGGCAGCTGGGCAGAATTCAGCAACATCAGTTTTAAACATTTTTGGTAAATCGCAAGCCGAAAGCCCTGAAATAAGCCATCAGCCATCCCAGAGCCTAAACCCGCAAGCTAGGTAGATCTTGTAACGATATATAGATATGTCCCAGGACCTTCCGGGACTTGAGATGGAGTACACGTGCGCATGGGCGCTGCACCACATGTCATCTGTTTGCGACAAGGCTGGTCTCTGGTTTTCTGAGTCTGAGCGCCAAGCATTCGGACAGATACGAGGTTGCATTCAAATTTTTCGGTTCACGTTTTAGGTGTGATGTTTCTGGAGCCAGAAACCGAACCTAAATCCAACAAACCCGAAGCCCAAAACCCTATGGTCCACTTTTTGTGTGTGTGTAAAAGCAACTATATGGGGCTTGCCTTGCATAAGCTGCGATAGGAAACTCAGGGGAAATGCCCACCTGAACCCTACTAGTTGGTTTAAACCCGTAACTTACGTATGTACTATAGATAGTACAGACGATAACACGAGCCCCAAGCCAAATCAACCTCTTAATGTATATAGTTGCTGGCACCCTTACATCCACCGTGCCCTTCACGAGGAGTGGTCGGACGTTCATACAGATCTACGTCGCACTGGCGGCGCAAGCGCTGGAGGATTGCAAACCGCTGCATCTCGATTGAAATTCAAGGTTGGATTCCAAATTCCAGGCTTCCACTTTCTTTTCTGTTCTTCCAAAATCAGATATGCTAGCTGCTAGCTTGGATATCTGGCCCACCAAATACAGCTCAGGTTTAAAGTCCGTCCCAAACTGCATCAACTACACTGCGGCTTGATCTGTCGGTCGGATAGCAGCTGGTGGAACCCCAAAAATGCTCAAAGGAGGACTACGTTGGTCATTTTATGAGGTTGGCCAAAGCTTCTGTTCACAGCTCAACTCTCGGCAAACGTTGCCTGCAGCGGTGGGTTTTACACTTCAACTCTTACCATGCGAGTTGCAAGGTGGACGCCAAAAGTTGAGTGTATCGCGGTGTATCGAACTAAACCCGCAAGCCTGAGGTCTCCCAACAAACTCTTCCCAGAAAGTCCGTGTAGCTAAACACAGACCCTGTGTACAACCATATTAGGGCGGTTAGGGTTTAGGTTTTTAGGGTTTAGGGTACAAATGCAAGCCCTTAATTTTGTGAGCGACATCCCCGGAGCACGCTCTGATTGAGACTGAGAACTTATATTCCTCTTCCCAAGCCAAAACCAACTGCACGAAAGCCCTATCTCGATGAGGCCGGGGATTCCAGGGTTTAGGGCTTCGATGGGTGGCAGGGTCAACATTTTAACTTTGGGGTTTATGGGCTTGGCGCGTTTAGTTTTAGGGGTTATTTGGGGCTTAAACGTACTTTCGACGGTTTCGAAATCATGGCTTGTATCCATCAGCTTCGTACAGGAGCACGTGCTGGTTTCTCTGTGTACCCCGCGAACCCAAGAAATCCAAACAAGAAACCCCGACCTTATAGGTAGGCATTCTCGGGGGTAGTCTCGCTAATATGGGAAGTCTTTCTTCGTTTGTCTGCGTGTGTGGGTGTGTGCTCGCAAGTGTGTGAACGCACGCGTCCGTCCCGTACGTTTGTCCTTCTTACTTAAATCGTTCGTGCTCAGGTGTGTGCGCATGTGTGTGTGTACACACCGTACATGTATGTATATATATATATATATACATATATATATATATATATATATATATATTAGAGTACAATATAGTAAGCATATGAATATATATATATATATATATATATATATCAACATGAAAGAATGTTTTTTGTTTTTTTCTTCTGATGCTCACGGTGTTCGATCTGATTCTCACGATGTTCGCTCTGATTCGCATGATCCTCGCTCACGTTCTCATGATAGCTCGCTCGAATGCTCATTTTGTGCGTACTTGCTGACTCGGTAGGACCACCGCACACAAGTGCAAGCATACTTCCCAGCACTTTCTGCATGGCTAATGTTGATCCCGCACACCGCATCGGGGCACCAAGTTGCTAAGTACAAAATAAGGGGCCGCGCTTTTTTAAGCACAGGACAAAACAGTACTAAGTACAAAAAACATAAAAGGACAGGTCTCCAGGCATGGACCAGGCACGGCGACAACTTCGTAGTCTCGGGCAACGAACTTGGTCAACCGCTTCAAAACACCGGTCATGAAGGACTTCAGTCCACAGACGTTCTCTAAGACTGCCAAGATCGGCTTTTTCGCAGAAATCGTGCGCAGGGCCGCAAGCCTTAGACTGGAATTGCCGGTCCCAGGAAATCTGTATGCCCAATGCATTTCAGAAGTCTCTTCAATTTTGCAGTCGAAATGCAACACACAAGACCTGCCGTCTGACCAGCCCTTTCGGCTCCCAACCGATGAATACGGTTGGCAGGGGAAACCACAGGTGTAGACGTCAAACTCGGGCATCTCCTCGGGCCGTCGCTTGAGAATGTCGTCGTAGAAGACGCGCGGCTTGTCTGTGGGCAATGGAACTTGAACACTTTAATCGAGACGAAGTTTGCCTGTCCTGTTCTCGTTGCAGCCAGGCAACGGTTGGCCTTGATGACAAGGCGTGCTTCGGGCGCTGAGTCACATGAGCTGACATGCTCGGACTGCCACTGGAGGGCAGCCAGTGCCCAGAGCGGTGCCTGCGACTGCTGCTCTAATGGATTTATGCCGTGGTGTACAACGAATGAACCGACAACGGCGCAGCTTCATTCAGGATCTAAACACTGACCGGACAGTGCACCTCCACGCCCGAGCAATCGGTGGCAATCCGCAGACCAGGAGGCCACCTCGCACCCGATTCCATAGCAGCCTGCTGAAAACATCGACTCCACGTCATTTCTACCTCGGGCTCGACGTGGCTTTGAGCAGATCCTGGTACCACCGGAGCAGCTCTGAATGGCAGGGGTTGAATGTTACGACTTTGCTGCAAAATGCCAAAGTTTAAAGCAAACTCTGAATGATTGTCTCCCTGATGCACTTCGCAAGCAGACATTTGTTACGCACACGCACACCCCTGGCTGTGCAACTCTTCCCCTGGCCCCTCGGACTCGCACAACTGCAGACCGTCTTGCTTCAAGGTTTTGGGTTTAGGGTTGGCCTGAAATTGTAAAGGTGATGTTCAGTTCGGATTCCGGAAATCATCCCGGCTAATGACGGACTGACTGCAGTGGCTGCGAAAAAAATGCTCTTCAAAAGAAGATGAAGACCAGCAGCTTCTCGAACTTGTGACAAGTGAACCACCCCCTAGCTGCACTCGGGCTCACAGCTCACTCTTAACCTGCTGCCTGCCTTTCCGGCGATGCCTCAGCAGGACCGTCTCGGGCTGGAGCTTCGTGACGTGCGACCCCGGGCCAGAGACGAGTTCACGCTTGACCTTTGTCTCGGACTTTTGTATCTCGGCCTTAACGACAGTCTGCTGTGTCTTCACCTTGGTCTTCTTCGGGCCACATCTCACCTTCACCTCCTTCTCGGGCCGAGCTTCCTGCACTGTCTCGCTGCTCGGTGCCAACTGAAGGATTTTCTTCATGGCCACAAAGTCTCTGGCGAGTGGCGCCTGACGCCCAGATGACTCGGCCATAGTAGCCAGGCAGCTCAAAACGCGATGGGCTTCATCTTCGGCAGCTGTTTGCAAGGCCACCAAGCCTTCCGCAGAGATTCTGAAACCCTCGGGCAGCATACCTCGGACAGCACTTGCGAACTTCATCTTCGGAATCATGAACTTTTTCAGCTTCTTCTCCTTTGATAGCCAGAGCACCGGGTGGCACGAAGCAGAAAAGCAACTCAACATATTATTACCGGTGCTAGTCTCAGAGTCAGCTAATTCGAATGAAGGGACGGTCTGTGGCTGACGCACAGTCATCTGAAGTCGCTGAATGGTGGTCTCGACTCGTCGCTGATACCGCTGTCCTTTTCGGGCCCCCCCGCGGTCAGCCTGTCACGAAAGAGTGCTGTTATTGACTATTCGGGTGTTGCCAGCCAGGTAGTTTAAATTTAGAATACCATGCTCCAACCGCCAGTTCACCGGGCCTTGGATCGGGCAACATCGGATGTTGCCGGCTTGACCTCGGGCCTCATCGACCGAACGGCAGCAGCAACCCCCAAACCCCCTTGGAAGACACCCCGAAACCTCAATCAAACCCTCAGCTCAATCCGTGGTTCTATGATCTTAGACCTTGGAAACCGGAAAAATTGGCTCAGTCCTCGAGTATCATGTAAGCCAAAGGCATAGAAGCATGGCTACCCGATACTTTTACTAGCTTGGAAAGTGCCAAAACAGACTCCGATTTGACATTGAGTGAAATGTATGGACCAATGAACCCCTACAACCCCTAAACCCTTCTTTAACCCTACTAATAATATTTAATACATCCGACCAAACGAAGCCTTCATTTTAGTCGCAAACCACGCCAAGGACTTGGCTGGATGCCTGTTTCGGACTTTTGCGGGCCTGAAAAGTGCAAAATCGGAGTCCGATTTGGGTTCAGGAGTCACGTCTTGACATGCCTGTGACACCCTCTTGGCTGGATTCGAGCTTAAGAATGCAATTCAGTGTCCGATTTTACACTTTCAGCTCTGTAAAAAATCCGAAAACCAAGGCCTCTTCCAGTTGGAGGCCTCGCGGGCCTTCTTGCCGAGATGTTCTTTCCATGTGCTCTAACTATATACCTACCTATGTTAAACCCTAAAATCTCCGGTCGGGGCTTACCTG